ATTAAATCCGTTTTTATACAAAATAAATAAATTTGAAATACTTTTTTCGATACAGTACATTTTCAAATATTATTACGCATGCATGCGTAATATGTCCCAACCGCACTACCTTCTGAGATGAGGCAAATGGAGCGTGCTTTTAAGGACTGCCACACACAAAATTCTGTAGCAGTATGCATAAGATGTAACTTAAGCCAATGAACCAATCAGGATGATGAATCTGCTTTAGATTACGTAATCTAACGGAAATGGAAATAACAGTAAACTTATCCATAACCTTGCAATAAGGTAAATTTTAACCAGCTAAAACTTGCCTTATGGGTAAGTTTAATGCTATTTCTATTTCCGTTAGAATACATAGATCTAAAGCAATATCCTAATTGGCTCATCGGCTTAAGTTCACGTCTTAAGGTTACTGTTACATAAATTTTATCTGTGGCAGCCATAACCTAATCTAACCTAACCCCGGATCTACAATAGATTTTTAAGTCTTAAACCATAAGGAATGGACGAATCACAATCAATTATTCTTTTCGCATTCGACTGTGAGTTGATTAATTTCTTACGGCTTAAAGCTTAAAATACCTATTGTAGATCTGGACCATCAACATATAGTACTGGACGGAGCATTAGCATCGAAACTATCTTGGCAGACCTAGAAAAAGATAGAGTGATTACGGGGATAGTGAATCATGTAATCAAAGAATAATACCTGAGGTATTAAATTACATCTGTATTCAGAGTGTTACTTTTGCACAAAATACAAGAAACCATATTTCAAGTTTTATTTTGTATCTAATAATTAATAATAATTAATGTAAGTTTATAATTATCGTACTACTACCAGTCAATACTGTAATAGCACCTGACTTTAAAGAATACCCTGCTGCAAATTCCTATGGGCAATTTTCCTATGGATTTGTCTAACCATGGGTACCCATGATAAATTCGATTGGTCCTCATGGGAAGAGGCTTCTATCTTGCTGTAAACTCCCATGGGTTTTTTCATGAGTTCCTATAGAGGACTGCAAGGTTCTGGCTGTGTTCCAAAATTTATTACCAGTATTGAAAATCTATAGTTTCGTTATGTGCACTATAGATTTTCAATACTGACAGTAAATTTTGGAACACAGCCTCTGTAGGAGCTTGTACACAATTAATGAACAACAGAGAATAATATTAGGACGTTCCTCCTCTCGAACCCAGGCCTGGTCTCTCCTCCGAGTTGGTAGACTTCCGTCCTGCCATTGAGCCACACAGCCCTGACACTGATAGCTTTTCTATTGTATTTATTTCCTCTAAATTTCTTATAATAGGTACCTATAGAATTTACAGCATATATATATATATATATATAGGATAACATAGGAAATTTTTCTACAATACATAGGAATTTATAGCATCTAATCCATAAAAAGAGGCTCCTATAAGATCGCATGGGAAAAAGAATGATGTGCACGTTGATGCAATCCTAAATGATATACAGGATGTCCTGTATTTGGGACTATTTTCGTGTGCAAATAAAATAGATTAAACTGAATCGAAAAGTATCATTTTGTAATTTTCATAATAATTAGTTTCTAAAAATTGCCGAATAAGCGGGTAAAATCAATGCATAAGACAACTTTAAGATATTTTTCAGAGTTCTTTATGACATATTTTAAAGATGTTTTTCAAAGAATTCTTAAAGATACTTTAAAGTTGTCTAATGCGTCGATTTTAGACATTTTGCTCCTTGGGTAATAATTGCAAAAATTGCAAAATGATAGAAGACCTTCTGGTTCAGTTTAATCCGCTCTATCTGCACACAAAAATTGTTCCAAATATTTTAAGACACCCTGTATAGTCCCAATAATTTAATATTAGAATGTGTACACAAAATGCTATAACAGTAGCCGACTGATGTAATTCCACGTAAAAATCTAAGATAATTTTTCTATAACTCCAAAAACTAAAAGTCACATGATAAACAAGATGTATTTAGTGACTCAAAAAAGTATACTTATGAGTATATATTTTCTTTATGAGAGTCAGGATTTTTTTTACCCGACCTTTTTTATTTTATTAACTATTATCATGGCTTCTAGTTTTTAGAAGTTACAAATTATTCTCTCAAGTGGATATAGGTACCCATAGGAATGCGGAAGAGATGCCTCATGGGAACTAAATATCTATAGGATATTACACTTTGACGTATAGGAACATGTAGGTGCATATAGGACAGAGGAGATGTACATACGTCATCTTATGGTAGCCTATAGTCATTTTCAGTCTCCACGAGGCACCTTTTTTTTATCTTACGTATGCTTACATGTTACTATATGTCAAACTGGTATCCCATAGACCTTTTAGTTCTCATGGGGCATCTGTCCACATTCCTGTGGGTACCTCTATTATCCTATTTGCATTCCTATGAACGTCCTACGTATATCTATGCATGCTACGCAAATTCTATAGATAACTACATAAACTCCTACAGAATTATAAGATTCTGTTATAGTCCTTTATAGGAATCTATAAAAAACCCATGGGAATTTGCAGCAGGGTACACTATTATCCTCCTTCTCCTGAAACATAATTCGACTAAATAGGACAAGACTAGAAAGAGAGTTCCGTTCCCACTTAGCCACCTTAATCTTTTTAGCTCCGTCAAGACAAAAGATCAAAGAGATTTCGCTATATGCTCCGTCCAGTACTAGAGACCCTACAGTCAGAGATACTCAGTACTATATATCAATGATCCAGACTAATTGAACCATCGAGTATGCTCTAAAGCTAATCACACACTTTCCGTAATAGTAAAGCCGGAATCAAACTATGCATTAAAGATTGAGATTGAAGATTAAAGATTGAAATTTTACCAATAAGGACAAAAAAGTTTTGGCTCCTTTTGTTCTGACTAGTCAAACTTTAATCTTTTAATCCCCAATCTCATTCTTCAATGCGTAGTCTGATTCCGGCCAAACAGTAAAATTTCCGATTAATTGCGTTGCTCGATTGTTAAGGCTTAAACACAATAGGCATAGGCAATAGGCACAGGGAACAGAGAATAACAAGCTGTCCAATCAGAGCTCAGGGATATAATATCAAACTTACACGCCAGAGTTCTGATTGAACGGCTCGATATTTACTGTTGTCTGTATCTATTGCTTGTGCCTATTGTGTTTAACTTTTACGGTTACGGTTACGGACGACCGAATCGAGCAATGCGATTGGTCGAAAAGCTATGTTACATTTACGGTTATTGTTACGGAAAAACCCATGTCACATACAAAAACGTAAAGCCATAAGACGTAATCAGTAAGCGAATTGCCCAATCACGGAGACCATAAGGCCAGTAACGAATCCACTCTTACGATTTCCTTACTGCTTACGTGTTACGGCCTTACATTTTTGTATATGCCATGGACTAAAGTGTGTATGACTAGCTTAACGCGACGCCAACATCTAATCGTCTTATTTCCAGTGACGCGAACGTATTGGAGCACGTTGGGTATTTTGAAACGTGCGACGCGAACTAGAGAGCCTCACAGGAAGAAAGGCAAATTATGTCACGTAACCCACTCTCTTCTGATTGAACCTGATAATCAAGCTCCATAGAGCCATGGTGAGGGTATGCTTTAAATTAAATGACTGTAAAAGCAATACGCTTGTCACTTTGTGTTACAATTTCCTTCTTAACTGGTAAGATCTTTGTAAGTGATATATATTATTAATCTTGGAAGTATGTACCTTCCTCTATTGTATTGTATATATATACATAAAACTATGAATTTTTACATTTCAGATATTAGAATTTGTGCATATTACAAAATGCTTGCCAAGTGCAGTGCTTCCAAATGCACGAACTCTAATAAAGACGGATTGCTGCACAATATTTGCCCAAGATCCAAACTTGAGACAAAAATGGATTAATGCTGTCGGAATTCCTGATTGGAAACCTTCAAAATCGGCTGTGGTATGTGAAGTTGATATCGAATCGTACATACAAATGTTTTATAATGTAATTCCTGTAAACACCAACAAAAATAACAATGTTATAATTTCTCACTCAATATCAATATATTATATTAAATTCAATATAATGCATAACGATTACATAGTTGCGTGAAAAATTCTAACATATTGATGTTACGTTAATGATTGGTTGGTGGGACAGATATTTTTTTCTCTAATGTGTATCTCTTATTTTTTAGGTTCATTTCTTTTCATCAGAATTATTCTGCGCAAAAAAAATTATGAAAGATACCATATCAAATTTGTTTTGCAAATGCAATGAATCTGTAAAAAAATTAGAAAGAAAAAAATTGAAACATGTTATTCATAATGATAGTTGCGTAAAAAACTGCCAATTTTATGTGATTGAATTATTAGTATTTTTCTTTTCTTATAGATGTGATAATTTATAATAAATGTTGTGTAATATCTAAAAACTTATGTTGAATAAATATTTTATATTTTTTTAATTAATGATATATATATTCTTTATGATGTTTGTAATTAATCTTTATGTTTCTTACAATTAAAAAATCAAACAATTATTTTGCCATAAATTTTATTTTTATTACCAAACCGCTTTTTTTTTAATATTAAAAACAAGCAACATTCAGTAAAACCAAATCAACATTAAAATCTACAAATCCTCTTTCACCAAGACTATATGGACTACCAAAAATACACAAACCAAATATTCCCCTCAGATCGATTGTCAGCGCCATACACTCCCCGACATACAACTTATCCCGCTTTCTAGCAAACATTACAACCCCTCACTGGAAAATCCGAATCACATATAACCAACTCAATAAACTTCATACAAAAGATCCAAAAAATCCGACTACGATCCACAGACCTGTTTGTAAGTTTGGACGTAGAATTCTTTTTCACACAAATCCCAATAAAAGACATATTAAACATAATAAAGGCCTCACATGAAGTCTCGTCCGACCTCATCCCGCTAATACCAGGTGTACAAATATGAAATGCGGATTTGAGAAAACAGATGGCGCATCAATGCAGTGTGTGGTATAAAGATTTGACTGTTATGCCATTTTGAAGTGCCATCAACAAGTGTCAGACGCGCACGAGTGATAAATTGAAAAAGTGTTTGCATAGTGTTGTGTTGCTGTGTTCGATATGTCGAAATTTATACCAAACAAAGAGCATTCGCGGACAGCATTAATTTTTTGTTTTCATTTGAAGAAAACTGCTGCTGAATCATACCGATTACTTCGAGAAGCTTATGGTAAACATGCTCCATCGCAAGATACGTGTGAATGATGGTTTCGGCGTTTTAAAAGTGGTGATTTCGATGTTGCAGACAAGGAAAACCGCCAAAAAGGTATGAAGATGTGGAATTGCAAGCATTGTTGGACGATTCACAAATACAAAAACAATTCGCAGAGCAATTGAGGGTTAGTCAACAAGCTGTTTCCAATCGCCTACGAGAGATGGGAAAGATTCAGAAGACCGGAAGATGGGTACCACATGAGGGACGACAGGCAGATGGAGAGGCGCAAAAACACATGTGAAATTTTGCTTGCACGATACAAAAGGAAGTCGTTTTTGCATCGTATCGTTAGTGGGGATGAAAAGTGGATTTATTTTGAGAATCCCAAACGCAAAAAATCATGGGTAGACCCAGGCGTACCATCTACAATATGTACATCGACCGCAAGGCCAAATCGCTTTGGCAGAAAGACGATGCTCTGTGTTTGGTGGGACCAGAAGGGTGTGGTCTATTATGAGCTGTTAAAACCTGGTGAAACGGTTAATGCTGGACGCTACCAACAACAATTGATCGATTTGAACCGTTCGCTGCTTGAAAAAAGACCAGAATACCAAAAGAGACAACACAAAGTCATTTTTCTTCATGACAATGCTTCATCACATACGGCAAAATCGGTTCGCGACACGTTGGAAGCACTCAGCTGGGAAGTTCTACCCCATGCGGCTTACTCACCAGACTTGGCTCCTTCCGATTACCACTTGTTTGCATCGATGGGTCACGCACTTGCTGAGCAGCGCTTTGGTTCGTACGAAGATGTGAAAAAATGGCTCGATGAATGGTTCGCGGCAAAGAGAGAAGATTTTTATTGGCGTGGTATCCACAAATTGCCCGAAAGATGGGAAAAATGTGTAACTAGCAATGGAGCATACTTTGAATAAAGCTCTTTTTATCATTCTTCCGAATTTAACGTGTTTTTTGAAAAAAAATCCGCATTTCATACTTGTACACCTGATAGAGCACTGCTTAACAACCACTTTACATTTTGAGAAAGAGGCCCTCAGAAAAACATCCAAAAAACCAGAAGTTTAGTTCCGTTATATAGATAACACATTTTAATATACGCCGTTTTACTTTTTATTTTATGTATCTATGACTATTATCTTTAATTATATATATTATGCGACGACTCTTTTTCGCCATTTATTTTGTTTATTTTGTTTATACATAAAGAATCTTTACACCGCTGTTATTCAATTATATTAAATTTAATATAAAATTATATATAATTATATATATATATATACGTCCAAACCCTTGAAAATTTGGTCAAAAAAGACAATAAGGGAGAATGAAGAGGGTATGGAAGGACGGTTAGACTCACAGGTATACGCACAGAGACTGAAAGTACGTTTCCACTGAGCACGTCACGCGCCGTGTCATCCGTCTGTGTCACAAGTTAACCAATCAAAACATCCCATTTATTGTATCATTTAACACGCAATTCTTTACGTGATGCATCGTAATTTTGCTCGATATTCTAGAAACAAATTGACCAAATTGTTAATGATAATCGAGTTCTACACAGATTGGTTCTCGAAAATTTGTTGTTTGTCGTATTAGTTATCATCCAACCAAAGAAAGAATTTCTTCAAAAGTTTGTGGTAATTCTCATAAAGTTGAAGTAGGTTTCATGATCATACAAGTGGAGCTCTTGTATCAAATGTTCCCAGTTTTTATGAGTTGGTCTCGTTTTAAGTATGGGATGTTCCAGAATCGGTAAAACCTTCGATTTTCCTTTTCTGTAAGTTTCATTTGTCTATTCAATAGTATCATGTCAAAAATTTTCGTTCGCAAATGTTGTCGATAGGCCTCCATGATTCTAGGTCAGTGCTCGCTCATGCATTGTGTTGATTTACATTGTGTTGATTGCGATAATACGTTCAGTGTGAATTAGTACGACGCTATTCTTGAACTTCTTTCTTTGTCGTGACGCGATGAATGACGCGACGCGTGACGCGCTCAGTGGAAACGTATTGTACTTTGACATCTGTAAGTCGTACGTACCTTTTCGGTCTCGGAATATGGGTCAACGTCCCGAAAGGGACGCTATGACACCTGTTCCGAGACAGTGGACAGTGTGTGGATAAGAAAAGAGGAAGATAGGGAAATTGGAGGAAGGTGGTGCAGCACATTGGGACTAAATATCTGTGGGATAGTGTAAAGGATAGTGTAAAAAGTAGAATTGTACACGGTCACTACTCTATCCTCTTTGTTGGAGGGGAAAAAATAGAGTCTGAATAGGTGATCTCAGTTAATTGGTACGGAAACTGACTGGTATAGAAGAAGAGGTGAGAGCTGATCTGAAGAAGGAGGAGGAGGGAATCGTTCTTCAATTGGGGGAGGAGAATAATTTAGGATCTCTCGGATAGCAAGGTCAAGGACAGAAAGAGTAGTCAGGTCGAGTGTTTCTTCAATGAAAACTGGCGAAGATGAAATTTCCAAAAATTCGTTCGGTCGGTTGTGGTGCTACAGTTTGATTAGGTAGACGGCTCCGCCTACTCCTTCTGACATACGGGGTTCGTCCTCGTGCTTTTTGGTAGTACGAACGCGCACTATAATCGAACCAAAGGGTTAAATATATGTATGTGTGTCCGTTAAATACGTATGAGTATATATATATATATATATATATATATAT